GGTGTAGGAACCTCCCTGCCCCCAACCTTGTTCCCTCTCCTCTGCCCCAAACCTGTTCCCTTTCCCTTGCCCTCCCACCCTGCTGAAGAAACCAGCCCCCCCTGCAGAAACCAGTTCCTTCTGGCACCCTGTCTCCTACTACAGAAATCTGGCACCCTGTCCCCTACTACAGAAACCTGTCCTGGCACCCTGCCCCCTCTCCCCTGCCCCCACTGGCACCCTGTTCCCTGCCCCAGAACCCACCAGCACTCCTCCCCAGTACTGTGTCCCCTGCTCCCAAATGACTTTTCTATGGGTCAGTGACCCCTGACTCAGGGCAGATTCTGCATTGTCTTTATTTATGAGAATGGCAGGGAAACTTTTTCTGTTTAACATAGTATTCTATTTAAAAATGAAGCCTGGCCAACAAACCCCCAATTGGGGCCAAGCCCCCATCTGGCCACAACCACTCCTGCACTCCCCCTTCCCCAGACCCTAGATCTGAGCCTATCAAACACTGGAACCTCCTGCCTTCAGCCCCTCACAGACCCCAACCCAAATTCCTGCACCCTCACATCTGCAAGCCTGTGGCTTGCTTAGTATCCCAACACTGCCCAGCCTGGAGCCCCCTCCCCGAGCTAGTGTCCCCTTCTCCACCTCCTCCTGCATCCAGATTTCCTCCCAGAGCTTGCACCTCCCCCCCCTTCCCACACCCAAATCCCTCATTCCCACCCCAGAGCCTACACATCCTGTCTCAACCCAGCGGGGGTCCAGCTAGACTGCAGGAGTTTTTCAGGATTCTGGAGATATCCCAGAAAAACTCTTCTGCATCCAGGGTTGTGTTTGTTCTTCTGCTTTTTTAGTGGAAGAGCAAACAGGCTCTTTTGGTCACCCCTATATTCCTCTTTCCACAAGGAATAAGGTGGCTTCCAAAAGAAGGGGTTTTTTGGTGACATTTGGTCCAGTGTAGACAGGCCAATGTTGGAAAAACCTCTTCCTACAGAAGAATAAAAAAAAATAATAATAAGCAGCAGTATAAGGATTGGGGATAGCAAGTGATGGAGAAGGGGAGAATAGAGAGGGCGGGGCTTCAAGGAAGGGGCGGGGCGGTAGATCTTGGCTTGGTCTGTCATTTAAAAAGTGATCTTGGGTGTAAAAAGGTTGGAGACCTCTGCTGTGTGCAAAGCCACGCGGCCGGCCAGCAAACATCTCCACTCTGCAAGAGCAGAGAGATGAGGTCACAGCCTTCCCCAGGGCCCGTCCTTGAATTTCAGAACCCACCCTCCCCCACCAGCCAGGAACCCAGGAGCTACCCAGACTCCACGCCTTGCTACGACCACATTAGCACCCCCGGCGGCGACAGAGACCGAGGCTTGTGCCGCACAAACAGTGAGAGCCGAGTAACCACAGCCATGGTGAGAAAGGCCTCGTGTGGCCAGCGCAGTGCCATCCCGAGGCCGGCTCGTCCCTTACCTTCTGGGCCTGAGTGGGCTCCGTGAGGACCAGGGTGAAGAGGCCCAGACAGATCTCCTCGTGCTGAGGGGCGCCTTTGCACACCTGCGAGGGGAAAGGGAGGCAACACAGGTCCTGGCTCAGGCGGGGTGTCTCTTGCATGCGGCGGCTCCCACCAGCACCCAGCGCCCCCAAGCCCAGCAGCAGGACTTCCCCAACATTCCCACCCCGGAGTTAAAATAGACTGTCCCAGAGACGCCCTGGCAGCGGGGAGTGGTCTGGAGGGTTCCCTGGCAGCACGCCCGGATGCCCACATCGCGCACAAGCAGGGAGGCAGGTGACTCCCCAGGACGTGACGCTCTCTGCCCACGCCCGGGGCCTCGCAGGAGGCGTGGTAGAGCCGCGTGAGACACTTCCCTGGCCACACAGCCACCTGGGAAAGGCTCCCACCTGCACCCGCCGGCTCTGGCAGGCCCATTTCACATCCCTCGTGCTGGGCCAGGCCGCTCAGTATCGTGACTCCAGCGCTAAAGATTCAAGGGGGAAGAAAACTGCTGCCAATCCACTAGACCCGCTAAACATCACTGGCGTTTTCTCGGCACCGCTGTAGCGTTTTAGTATGGGTATACGAGTGCACGTGCCATGGACACCGATGGGCTTAGGAGAGCCGTATTCTTCTGTGTCATCCTGTTTCTCAGCATTAGACAAGGTCGGCATTGCAAACTAACTCGTGTCTTCTAGATACTCTGCAACATTTTGCCTGGAACGCCCTGTAAAACGTTTGGTGTGAGTGGAGAATGAGAGAGTCATCGGGAAGGTCCAGATGCTCAGTAAGACTGGGAGATGCTGAATCGGGAGAACAGACGAGCCCTGGAGACGGGCAGACGCTCCCGACGGTGAGACCACAAACGAGATAAGGAAGCCTGAGCATAAACATCAAAGAAGAACTGCGGGGAAACACCAGGATTAACACATCAAGGACGGCAGCATGACACCCACAGACTCCACCGGGCTCTCACAAGCACACCATGACACTGGGTTCAGCCCTGCAAGCCAAGCCTCAGAGGAGCCTCAAATTGCGATCAAAGGACCCCGACTCCTCACTCAGTCAATCCTACCTGGCCAGTAAGACAGACCTGAGCCACGACAACTGGTACCTACACACCATCTGCAGGACACGTGTGCATGTGCCATGTGCTGCTCTTCATGTTGTACTGTCAACACACGCAGGGCGTTGCCCTTTGCCCTGAAAAAGATCCCGTGTGCTTCTTAGAAGCATAACATTTTTGGTGGAGAATACGGGCACCAAGGACGTTCTCTCATCTCTCCAGTCTTTTTGAGCTTCCTGGTGATTCTCTCTCACACCAAGCGTTCCAGGCAAAGCATTGCAGAGTGACCAGGACACGGCCTAGTTAGCAATGCAGCCATTGTCTAATGCTGAGGAAGAGGGTGATATAGAAGCACAGGGCTCTCTCAAGGAAGTGATTATACATCAGACTTCTGCTCTTATACCAGTACTACATTTTTGCTACACAGCAACATCAGGGTGCAGGCCAGGACTTGGGGACTTTTCAGACTAGAAGCAAATGCAGGGGGAGAAGTGTACACTGGGGCTCGGTTGTTAGGAGCTCAGGCAGAGAGAGCATGCAAAAAGGTGCATGGCAACTGCAATCACATGCAAGTTACCCCCCCCCCCAAGCACATGTATAGTCACGCCCCCCTGCCGTGGAAAGTCAGTCTCAACAGCTCCACTCTGAGAACGTTACAGTGCGGGCAGATGCCGGCTTTCAGCACAGAAACACGGCATGGCTCCGTCGCCAGAGGATTTACTAGATACAGGGTGTGAGTGTCTCTTAAATAGCCATGGAAAACGCCTTGTCAGTGTTCAGACTGGGGGAGATGGCACAGCACTCCCTCCAGTGCTCCTAGAAGGGTCACACTTGCTTGCCAATAGCCCCACAGCAGCTGTCTCTCAGAGGTGCCCTCTGTTGCAGAGAGGAGATATTTCCTCTCATCAAGATTAACTTCGACACAGAAGCCTCTTGGCCAAGGGTTCCCTGTTCTTTGCAGACAACTCTCCCGAGAGCTGACAAACTCACTACACCCAGCATGCCTTGCAGGACAGGTGTGTGTAGAAAGTAAAGCTTGTAACTTGCCAAGGCAGTCGCTGCAGGAGGAATGCGTGGATAACGTTTGAGCAATAACGGACTGCTAGCGAACAGATGCTCTACAGCAGTGGTCCCCAACACAGTGCCCGCAGGGGCATTTGTGGGCGCCCGCCAAGTGCTCGGGGGTGGACTCAACCCGGGCGCGTGCCGGAGCCGGCCCCGGGCGCATGGGGAGCGCCGGCCCCGGGAGTGCGGAAGATTGGCATCCCCGCCCCCGAGCACGCAGCTATCGGGGGGGTGCCGGCTTTGGGCGTGCAGCTATGGGGGGTGCTGACCCTGGGCGTGTGGCTCTGCAGGACGCTGGCTCCGAGCTTGCTGCAAATGGGCGGAGCATAGGGTTGCTGGGTGGCTCATGGGGGTGTGGCGCATGCGCAGCCCCGCCCCCGGGTGCGCGAGTGTTCCCGCCCTCTGGCGCCCGGCAGGCGAACGGCCACGCCCCCTGGCGCCCGGCAGCTTCAAATGGTTGGGGACCACAGCCCTACAGACAGTTCGTTACTACGGGCCGTGCTGTGCGAAGGAGTCAGCGCCACGCTGGAAGGAGCGCCTCCCACCGCCCGTCAGCTCACAAGCCCCCATCCACCCCGCATGGGCCAACGGAAAGCTACGTCCGGCACTTACGTGAGCATTTAGGGCGTCATTAGCTTCCCTCTCGGACACCCCGTTGGTCAGCGCCGTCACGATGCCCATGCACCGCTCTAGTCTCTGAAACAGACAAAACACATCAATATACCTGGTCCTGCCAGCTGCATCCCGGAGACCCCGCGTTCTAGGCCACCCACGGTGCCTTGTGCAAGCACCAACACAGAGACCAAGAGTCCCAGGAGCCTAATTCAAGAAGTCTTTAGGGGCTTGACTTTCCAAATGGAAACCCCGGGCCCTCCCGTGGAAAGGGTGATGAGAGGCGATGGGGAATTATTGCCACCCTGCTCAGACACCGCACGCGACAGGCCATGCAAACCCAGACAGTCAAACCAGCACGACAACCATCCTCTCCCTGCGCCAGGATCCGCCTCACAATGCGTCACGTATTCCTCGCCTGCGCTCTAAGCGCCCCGCTGCCGAGCGGGGCTGGGCCAGCGCAGTCCGTTAACCCAGACGCAAAAGCGGCGCAGATAATGCTCTAGACTACGTGCATCCTGCCCAGGGCATTTCTTAGCAGGCAGGCCAGCAGCCCGGCTCCTGCTGGGTCCGGGACCGATCCGTGTTGTGGCTCTGCATTGAAAGCGTATTAGGAGCCAGGCAGGCCCGGCTCACGCTGGGTCCGGGGGCTCAGACGTGCCCCTAGACGGGGGCTGCTGCCACCCTCACAGCTGCCTCTCTCTCAGAAGCAGCAGCGGGGGTGACAGGCAGCCGGTCTGCGAGGGGAGCTGGTTTTTAAACGGGCTCCCCTCATGGACCAGCTCCCACCTGGCACCCCGTGCTGCTGCCTCTGATACAGCGGCAGCAGCGTGGAGCGGCAGGGGCTCCTCGGGAGTGAGGCCAGAGCGCGCTGGCTGCCAGCCCCACCCCTGGGGACTATCAAATAGCTGAGTAACCGATAAGAGTTCACGAGGCTACTCGACTATTGAATTAACCGATATTTCACATCCCCGCTGCAGGGCCAGCAAATGCTAACACTAGCATGACGGGCCCACAGACCAATGTGACCCAGAGACACGGGTCCCCATTCTGAGAGCAGAGCGAGTGTCACAGACAGAGAGGTTATGCCCCAGTGGCAGAGGCTACTCGGGGCACATGCTAGTGCCCGTCAGCCACAGCAGGGCAGCACGCCTTGTCTTGCGGGCCACGTGCCGACCCGTCTTTGCAGCCCCACTGCCTGTGTGAGTTCGGCACCCAGGCAAGGCACCGGGGCGCACGGGGCTCCGATTCACTACTTCCCTTTGCACGTAGCTGCTGGTGCAAGCAGACTGCAGGTGTTCTACGGGACCGTCCCTGCTCATGGAGTGACAGAGGAGGACACGAAGCCCACGGTAACTGCAAAATCGTGACGGTAACTCTGGGCAGAGCCCAACTGCTACAGCGTACCAGACGCGTGCACATCAAGGGCGCTGCCCGCGGCTTGGATCCTCTTGGCAACCGTCTTCTTGTGTGCTGGGCAGCAGGTACCACAACGGGGCCCAGGCCCTGACCCTGAAATGGGACCTCTAAGAGCACATACATTTGGGGACTCTTGGGGTCTCTGTTCCCAGAGGGAAGGACACAGCTCCAAGCGCTGCTACTGTACCTGTACATTCTTAGTAGCACCTAGAAGCATCAACCAAGATCAGGGTGGCCCTGCACTGAGCCCCGTGGAGACACAAGAACGGCCGGACTGGGTCAGACCCAAGGTCCATCCAGCCCAGTGTCCTGTCTGCCGACAGTGGCCAGCACCAGGTGCCCCAGAGAGGGTGGACCGAAGACAATGATCAAGCGATTTGTCTCCTGCCATCCCTCTCCAGCCTCTGACAGACAGAGGCCAGGGACACCATTTTATCCCCTGGCTAATAGCCTTTTATGGACCTGACCTCCATGAAATTATCTAGCTTCTCTTTAAACTCTGTTACAGTCCTAGCCTTCACAGCCTCCCCTGGTAAGGAGTCCCACAGGAACTCCAGACAGCGAAAGACAGTCCCCCATGAACAGTATTTACAATCCAAACAGACGGGATGGGGCGAGCAGAGGAGAAGAGAGCCCCACTGTCACCAATTTGCACTTGGGGAATCGAGGAACAAATATGTGAAGTGACCTGACCAAGGTCACCTCGGGAGTTTGTGGCAGAGACATGAATGGAACTCAGCTCTTCCAAGTCCAAACCCAGTGCTTCACCTACAGCTCTGAGGCCATGCCAGCCTGCCGAGCCCCATGTGCCCGCCTGCACGCCCCGAAAGGAACATGCCACTCACCCCAGGCAAGTAAAATGCTTGTTCGTGCCTGTCATGGTAAAGGGCAGGAGCACCAGCCACCGGGGCTGGTAAGTGCGTCACGTCTGGCACCAACACGCTAACGGGGCACCCTTGCCCTCTCCAGCTCACCAAGGCAGGCCCTTCCGCAGCATTCGCACTGGGATCGGTGCAAGCGGTCGGGTGGCAAAGGCCTGCTGCGGTTCGGGGATCACAAAACGCGGCGTCCCTCGGGGGGGGGGCTTCACTTTACTCCATGTGGATTTTCAGCACTGGGGCAGAGCCCACCTCCCTGCCTCTGGGGCTCTTGTCTACAGCAACAGGGGAGAGGGGCCAAATGGGACCGACGGGCCAGGGAGGCGGAGGCGGGCTCGGACGTGAAACCATTTCCTAAGGGCTCAATTAACGCTTTGCACAACGGAGCCCGGGCTGGGGAAAGGGACACGTGTCCTTTCAGCACTGGACCCAGTGAACTCACCACACTGGCTTGTGCGAGCCGGACGCTGCCCAGCCCACGTGCACCACGCTCGGCCACAGGGAAAGGAGCAGAGCCAGCCAGCGCTAGGAGAGACTCTGGGGTGAACAAAGCTGCCCCTTCCAGACTTGCACAGAGCCCTGTGTCTCACGGGGCAGCTCTGCGGCAAGCCTGCACAGGGGCCCAGGGACGCTCTGACGTAGGGATCAGATAGAGGCAGCTGGGGGGGAGGGGGTAGAGGAGGGGGGACTTCAAAGGGGCAGCGCCCCACG